GTCTGGTGGCCTGGTCCTTGGCGACGTCAGGGAGGCCGGTCCCACCCAGCTCCTGCAGCGGGTGGGCCCGGGCTCCACCCTGTGGGCATGAGTCCTTGTGCCTTACGGTTAACCCATGGTTAGAAACAAACAAACCCCCTCAGCACTGTATCACAGAGCAGCAGTGTCGCGCCCTCCATTCTTTCCAAGCTGTCACTTGAGGCTGTGCGACCGTGTGCTCAGCAGATTATGCCTCAGTTGCATGGAGTCTTTCACTCACTGACTATTTTATTCATCGATTCCGAGTCAAAAAATAGGTTATGGACAAAATGCTTTTGCATAGATTATCTTACTCATTGTCACAAAACCCCATGAGAAAGGTGGAATTGGAGTTTTTCATCCCTATTTTACAGCTAAGAAAACTCAGACCCAAATGACATTTCCAACGGCGACACTCCCTGCTATTCCAGGAACACAGCATGACACACACTGCAAACCACAGCCGTGCAGCACGCAGAAGAGGGAGAGACTCTCAGTAAAAACAGAACCGAAACCAGCCTCGTTTCTTCCGGTGCAAACTGCTCGCTGGCCTGGTGCGCAGTGAACGTTTCCAGCGCTGCTCGAGGGAAGGCCTTTGTGGGGTTATGCCAGGGGGAGATCTGCTTCCCCCCTCATTCTTTGAGTCTTGGCTCCTGATGCCCCACGTGCCCTGGAGCAGGAGCCCTGAGGGCCAAACATGCCGCTGCTCTCAGGCCACAGGCAGGGCACCGTCCTGGCCGAGACGCTGATGGGGGTACAGAGAGAAGCCCCCTCGGCGGGGCAGTCCGCCCACCCCCATGTCCTCGAGCCCAGGTGCAGGTTCCACGTGGGGCTCCCGCCGCCCTCCCGTGTGGTCACAGCTGTGCCTCTCACTCTCCTGCCTCAGCCTGCAGCCTGTCCTGGCACATGTGTGGCACAGTGATGCTGGGAAAAGACCCGGACACCTGGGCAAAGCATGTAGACCGTGCTGATGCCTGGAAAGCAGGAAGCAAGTGAAAACAGCCAGTACCGCCACTGTGCCAGCCACGTGCAACACTCCAAGTGCCTGGAGCCCGGCGAGGAGCTACCGACCTGGTCCCCGTCCACCCCTGCGGGGGCTGCTGTCGCAGAGGTGGGACAGGGGGTTCATGGCTGCACCAAGTACCTTTCTGGAGCCTCCTCCACCCCCGCGTGCCCAGGCCAGGTGGAGCATGCTGGGGAGGCCCAGAAGGTGTGTTTGGAACAGACATTAGGGGTCTGGAAGGGCTGGAGTTTTCTGGGCCTCCTGTCCTGGGTCCTGGGTCTCTGTTCTTTGCTGGTCTGAGCAGTAAGCATGACCTTGGAATGCCTGGGTCTTCACCTGCCCTGCCATTATTTTGCAGTGCAATTGAGGCCAGGTCCACCCTCCCTTCCTCAGGTGGTTTCCTCTTCTTAAAATTAGAGTTTGGAACTGTGGTTCTTCAAGGGGAGAGGCTGAAACCATGGAGGTAGGGCTGGGTGCTAGGCCCTATCTCCTTTTTCCAGGATACCTGCTCCCCCGACTTTTTTTTTTTTTTTTTTTTTT